TTTTTTTTTAGAGCCAGGGTCTCACTCAGTCACCCAGGCTGGTGTGCAATAGCACAATCATAGCTCACTGAAGCCTCAAACTCCTCTGCTCAAGAGATTCTCCTGTCTTGGCCTCTGAGTAGCTGGGACTATGGGTGCAAGGCACTACGCCTAGCTAGTTTTTTCAATTCTTTATAGAGATGAGGTCTAGCTATGTTCCCCAGGCTGGTCTTGAACTCCTGCAATCAGCCTTCAGTCAAGCAATCCTCCTCCTTCAGCCTTCCAAAGTGCTGGGATTACAGGTGTGAGCCACCACACCTGACCTCACTCTTAAGTCTTTAAAAATGACTTTACTGGGTATCAATAAGCTTTGTTGTTGTTTTTTTTTTCCCCCCTTTTCCTAGAGAAAGAATCTCACTCTGCTGTCCAGGTTGGAGTGTAGTGGCATGATATAGGTCATTGCAATCTTGAACTACAGGGTTCAATAGATTCTCTTGCCTCAGCCTCCTGAGGTGACTATAGGCACCTGCCCCTATGCCCAGTTAATATTTCCTTTTTTTTGAGACTCACTATATCGCCCCAGTAGAGTACCGTGACATCACAGCTCACAGCAACCTCAAACTCACGGGCTTAAGCAATTATCTTGCCTCAGCCTCCCAAGTAGCTGGAACTACAGGTGCCCGTCACAACACCCGGCTACCTTTTCAGGTGCAGTTGTCATTGTTGTTCAGCAGGTCTGGACTGGGTTTGAACCCACCAGCCCAGGTGTATATGGCTGGCGCCCTAACCACTGACTATGGGCACTGAGCCAATTTTTCCATTTTTAGTAGAGATGGAGTCTCACTCTCATTTACACTGGTCTGTGATCCTCTTACCTTTGCCTTCCAGAGTGCTGGGATTACAGGTGTGAGCCACCATCCCTGGCCTCACTCTTAGTCTTAAAAAAGTCTTTTACTGGGTATTTACAAGTTATTTACTCTCTGCATGTTGCTGATATTGTTTCACGGTTGTCTGGCTTCCACTGTGGCTAAGTTGATCTCGGTTTAATTATCAGTCTAGCTAGGTAATATGCCTTTATTCTTTGGCTGCTTTAGGATTTTCTCTACATCTTTGGGGTTTTACATTACTCCATGATGTTTCTGGGTAGGGATTTCCTTTTTTTTTTTTTTGAAGCCGAGACTCAGGTTGGGTAGACTGCCATCACATCACAGCTCACGGCAACTTCAAACTCTTAGGTTCAAGTAATCCTCTTGCCTCAGTTTTTCTATTATTAGTAGAGACTGGGGTCTCACTTTTGCTCAGGTTGGTCTCAAACTCATGAGCTCAAGCTATCCACCCGCCTCGGTCTCCCAGAATGCTGGGATTATAGGCATGAGCCACCGCGCCCAGCCTCATGGGTAGGGGCTTCCTTTGTCCATCTTGGGATTTCCTGAGCCTCTTGGGTTTATGAACTGTGGACTTTAATCAATTCTAGAAAATTCTCAGCCCTTATCTCGTACATTCCTTCTCTCACCTTTTCTCTCTGCTTTTCTTTTGGAACTTCGGTTCCATGCACATTAGACCATCTCCTACTCTCCTCCATGTCTCTTAGCCACTCTATGTCTCTTTGTGCTACGTGCTTTATAATTTTTCATTTCAGCTGCATCTACAACCTGTTTAACCTGCCTTTTAAACTGTTTTTTTTCCTTTTAAACTTTTAATGCTTATCTATTATGACTTCTATATGGTTCTTTTCCAAACATCTTTTTGTTGGTCTGATCTTTATTCATTCCGCCAGTTCACAAGTGGCAAAGCAGGATTTGAACCTCAGGTTTTCTTAAGAAAAGCCTCTACCATCGTAGACCCAAGTTGGGAATGACTTTGCTTAGCCCTATAGTGAACAAAACCAACTAGGAACTCCTAGGGAAGGCTAATAAGAACGTTTCCCCTTCCTCTCTTCTCCTAACACCCAGAAGGTCTTAAGGGCACAGTCATCAAGCTGATACATCAGATCCCAAACGTTCAACTGGAGAGTTGGCAACAGACACCACTAGGAGCCAGGTGGGATCATAAATAAGCAATCAAGGCAGGTACAAGTAGCAGGCAGTGAAGGACCCAGGTAAACTGCAGTGTCCATGCCATACCCAAATGCAGTGGCACTATTTGGTTCCAGCCAATTGTTCACGTGGGAATTCAACCTATTGCTACCAGATTTTCCAAGAAGCCAGAAATACCAATGCCTAATCTTTGCCAATTTTAATAATGTGTGGTGACCCAGAGCTGAAGCTCTTCCCTGCCTGGTGTCTCATTGTTGTTCTCTTGGCTTTAACCTTGGCTGATACAAAAATAGCCACACCAAGAATGATTTCATATTCCACAGGCATTTTTTTTTTTGAGACAGAATCTCACTGTCACCCTGGGTAGAGTGCTGTGGCATCATTGTAGCTCACAGCAACCTCAAAGTCTTGGGTTCAAGAGTTCCTCTTGCCTCAGGCTCCTGAGTAGCTGGGACTATAGATGCCTGCCATAATGCCTGGATAATTTTTATTAGAGATGAGTCACTTACTCTTTTTTTTTTTTGAGACAGAGTCTCACTATGTTGCCCCAGATATAGTGCCGTGGCATCACAGCTCACAGCAGCCTCAAACTCTTTGGCTTAAGTGATTCTCTTCCCTCAGCCTCCCAAGTAGCTGGGACTATAGGTGCCTGCCATAATGCCGGCTATTTTTTGTTGCAATTGTCATTGTTATTTAGCTGGCCTCGCTACCTGGCTGGCACCGTAACCACTGTGCTATGGGTGCTGTGCCAGGGTCTCTTACTCTTGTTCAAGCTGGTCTTGAACTTCTGAGCTCAGGAGATTCACCCACCTCGGCCTCCCAGCATGCTGGAATTACAAGCATGAGCCACTGCACTTGGCCCATATTCCATATTTTCTGTAAAACTATTGCTGAAAGACATCTGTTCTGCTGCATGATTCTTCCTGTATGGAGACCTACCTGTCTCAGTCTCCAGAAAGGGCTATAAGAAAGCTCTGCACAGCTATAGTGGCCAGGAGCAGTTTAGTGCTGACCTAGGAGTTGGTGGGTTTGATTCCTCCATCTAAAGATTTGTTATTACTATCAATAAACTTGGTTTTGGGCTCGGCGCCTGTGGCTCAAGCAGCTAAGGCGCCAGCCACATACACCTAAGGTGGCAGGTTCAAATCCAGCCCGGACCCGCCAAAAAAAAAAAAAAAAAAAAAAAGACATGAAACTGTGAAAATACTAGAAGAAAGTGTAGGGAAAACACTTGAAGAAATTGGTTTGGGGCTCGGCGCCTGTGGCTCAAGTGGCTAAGGTGCCAGCAACATACACCTAAGGTGGCGGGTTC